CCTTCGCTTTCAAGAATTTGCATGTACTCTGTCTAAATTGTTATTTTGTAGTATATATATATATATATATATATATGTGTGTGTGTGTGTGTGTGTGTGTGTGTATTTTACTTTCTTGGTTATTGGTCTTTTGCATTTCGTGCTCTCATGTATTTATATTTCACGGAGTCAATGTTAGTAATGTGTATTTTTTTTTTCCAGAGAATGTATCCAGTTGCAGGAGTGTTGTTTTGTTTTGCTGGTTTTTTGGGTTTTGGAGTTTTGGGGTTTTTTTTTTTCCCAATAGGAGACCTGTGGGCTAGAATGCAGGAGATTTTTTAAACATATTAATGAACACTTTAGTGAGAAATAGTGTTTTCTTATACCCTTAAAGCAGTCTTAGCTGTCAGACACTGTAGCACATGCTGGTAGCCCCAGCTACTTGTTAAGCTGAGGCAGGAGGATCACTTGAGCCCATGATTTTGAGGCCTACCTGGGCAACATGGCAAGACCCTGACTCCAAAAAAAAAGTTTAAATTAATCATTCTACCTTTCTCCCTTTTACCACTTCTTGTTTCTCCTTTTTCTTTATAATACTGCATAGAAATGAGGCAAATCCGGGCAAGTGGGTGTGACCCATCAGAGACCCAGGAGCGGGGCAGCTGCCCCAGGACGTGGGGCTGCCTTCATTTTTCTTCAGACGATTTAGGGGAGCAGTTTCCAGGCCCGATGTCAGCTGAGCAGTGGAGGACACAAAAGGCCTTCACTGTCAGCCCTTTCAAGGTCAGCTCTATGCAGGGACTGTTTTTCCCTGCTTTCATGGCCTGCACGCACTCTGCAGAGCTGGTTTCTCTTCTTACCTTTAATACCTTTAAGAAATTTAAAACTTTGTTACCTTTTGCTCTTGTCGTGCCCAGTTTTTTGTTGAGAATGAAAGACCATTGAAAGCACCGCTAAGAGTCCCCAGCTATTTACATATATTATATACATAACCAGTTATCAAAGCCATTTTCATTCTGCTTCATTTTACTTGTATCCGTTTTCCTTTACGGATTCTTTTCACTGCAACAGTTTGTAAACACGTCTCTGTGTGGACAGACGCACCTCGCTGTTACCACGTTCTGTGGCTGCGCAGGACTTCGCTCGGTGAGTGGCTGAGTGTGAGTCGTTCCTGCCGCAAGCCCAGGCCCAGGAGGATCTCAGGGAAGAGCTTGAAAGGCCGAGCGGGACCCAGGGATGAAGAGACGCCCAGGGCTTCCTGGCAAGAAGGTGGAAGGAGACTCTGGTCCGCACCACTCACTCATCTGAGGCTCTAGCTTTGCTCAGCGTGGCCTCCAGGAGCCAAAGGAGATAAAGCACATGGACTCACTGTCCCTGCGGTAGGAATTGGTGACACTGAACGTCCACAACAGCACGTGACTGGCTCAGAATGATCAAAATAGAACAAAAAAGAGGCTGTGGTGGTCTCACACCCGGAATGCCCAGCCTCCCACATGCCCCGTCTTCCCACTTAGCTTGACCTCTGAGCTCGACAAGGCAAGCCAGGCACAGCCACTCCCTAGGCATTTAAAGAACAACTCCTGGTGAGTGCCACAGAGGACAGGTGCTGCAGATGCCACAGACAAGAAAGGGACAGGAGGGAGCACCTCAGGCAACTGGAGCTTATGGAGGTGCAGGTGTAAGGAAGGAGGGCCTTGCAGAGCAAGCACACAATGTTTATTTTTAAATAACAAATAAGAGGCAAAAGAAATGCGGGAAAGGAAACATTCATGAAATTCAAGTCACTAAAGTGCATTCAAACAGCCTGACCTTCCCTCACCGGTTTAAACGTGCTGGGGAGGAGGCTTTCTTCGCTGAATATAAGCTCCAACACGCATACCTACCCAAGGGCACTCAGAACACAATCACTACCAGACCCCAAGCTGAAACATCCAAGGTCAAGCTCAAGCTCAAGGAGAAGACACTAAAATTCACACTCGTGTCTGCATGGAACCGCCATGTAAAGATACTGATTTCACTGGAAGTTAAAGAACTTACATTTCTTAAATCAGAGTGAGGACAGCAAACCTGCCCTGCTAATCCACACAGAACACTGAGCCTCATCTCAAGTGCCACCAACTGTGATCACATTCTGAACTTCAGGTCCTCCCTCTGGGGTTCTATGAAGCGGAATCAGATTTTACCCCAGATCAGCTGGCGCTATTGCCTCTGGGACGGTTTCTGTTCTAGAACGAAGTATAATTGTCCCCAAGTTATCCATCTGTCTTCTCACAGGAGTCAGCACTGTAATTTATTCTGACATCATAAGAAGAAAATTAAACTAAGGGTATTTGTCCTGGACCACTTTTGCCTTTTAAAAAATCCAATGTTTTACAGTCTTTGTAGGTGGGATCTGTGGTCTCATAAGGCTCCCACCATCCCTGGCTGGAACCCCTGGACACCCTCAGGATTGGAGCGTCCTTGAACCTCAGACCCTTGCTGCGTCTGCCGGGTCTCCTGCCGGGTCTCCTGCCGGGCAGAGCTGGACAGATCCATGGCCACGTCTGAGTTCTCAGGTCCCATTGTGTCGGAACCTCCTTGGGGACTATTGTGAAGGCGATCAGAGGTCCAGAGTCCTGCCAGCTTGCTCTCACTTGCTGGTTTCTTTATCATCTCCAAGGACTTTTTATGCATACCTTGCAAAAAAAAAAAGTGGGTGAAAAACAAACAAAAAAGCCATGTTTAATTCAACAATAAAGCAAACTGCTTCCTCATCATTGTTTTCTATGTCCATCAAAACTGTCCTTGCCCATGAGACTCTGGGGCTTACAAGCAAGTGGCTTGGTGACTCCCACCCTTAGGAGGAAAGCTGGTGTCTGCCAGCTGTTGCATTCTGCAAGGCTTCTTTGCTTGTGTGATGCAGTGATTGAGCCCACTTTCTCCCATAGCCAGGTCCAATGGGTGCAGCACAAGCCCCTTCACCTCTGATTCAGCACCCGGCTGGCTCCCTGCCCCAGGTCCCTCTGGTCCCTTCCGTCCTGGGGCAAAGTCAGACTGCACTAAGCACTGGTGTCTCCAGTTCCTGCATCTTCCTGGCCAGCAGGTGCTCAAGACCTGCTTGCCGAACAACCATCTTCCTTCCCAAATTAAAGTCACATGAGGTCCCTGGCCCACCTCCCCCAGCCCCAGTACAGACCTATGATTACACATCCTCCAGGCTGTGAGGCTGCAGCAGTAAGGGCAGCCCCCACAGCAGCCACCCCAGGTGGGCCACCAGCAGAGGCTGTTTCAGCACAGAAAGTCAAAGAAGAGATCCCGCAGCAGGAGTGGATGGCAGACCCAGCCGGGGAACAAACCTAACTCTTGTAGGGTTGGTCGGCTAGGTTTTCTCTATGCTGCCCCATTTCCCAACCCAAGCACATAGTCAGTGCGATCTGCCCCAAGGGACCTCCCGGACACTCCAGTAGGTGGTGATGGAGTTCGCCCTGACGCCAGCCATGTGGGACAGAGTTAGACGGGAGGGTCCATCAAGCCTGAGTGCTCTGTCCACTGCAGCCTGACGAGGACCCGGGCACCCTGTGTCCCCACCCTAGGACTCCCGCACCTCACATCCCAGCCCCTGCTCACCCAGCAGCCAGGGTGCACAGCAGCCCCTCGGGCCGCCCTGGGCCGTGCTGAGCACCGCGCCGGGCAGCGGGAGGCAGTGCCGCACCAGTGCCCCATACAACCCGTACTCAGCCATCAGGCTGCTGCCGCCCCAGCGCTTCTCCCGCTTGCGCCACTTCGCCCTGCGGTTCTGGAACCAGACCTGGTGCGGGCAGAGGGAGGGAGAAGGAAAGAAGGAAGGGGAAAGGGAGGGGAGACAGAGAGGGGAAGGGAGGGGGAGGAGAGTAACAGGAGACGCAGTGAGCACACGCTGGGAGCCGCAGACCCGCGTCCCTGAATTTGGGGTCTAGGAAGGGCGACTCTCCACCCTGAGAAGGGATCCTGGGGAGTTCAGGAGTGGCCCCTTCCTTCCAAACCGCAGGGATTCAGGTGTATGGGGATGAGAGCGCCTGCATGCCCTGAAAACTCCAGGGGAGTCAGCTGAAAACCTCAGAGCAAAGCACTTGCTGTCCCCAGCGTGGGGTAAACAGGTCAGCTGCGCTGCAGGCTGCAGCCGGTTTTGCTTTCGGGGGTGAGGAGAGCCCTCTGGGGCTGACTCTTGTAAGACCCTCTGGCTGCCTGTCTTTGGGCTATTGCTGGTTTTCTCATGGAAAATATTAGGTTAATAGGAGAACATTATGGAATATCGTGCCGATGTTTAAAAGGAGCGCTTGCAGCAAATCGCTTGACAAACCAAGAACACAGTTCTCCCTGCACGTGAACAAGTGTGTACATGGGTGCACAGCACACTACAACACAGGCTGGACACGTGTGACATGAGGGGCAAGGGGTAGGGGTAATAGTGGCCCTGTGTGTTGGTTTCTTTGGGCACTGAAGGTGGAGAGTCTTTTATTGCTGTATCTTCATGTAGCTTCTCGTGGCAGCACACATATTGCATGGTTTTGGAGAGTGATTAAACAGCAAATGATAAAAGCACAAAGGTCGAGGGCCCTTCTGGGGCTTTGGCTTTGGGGTCCTCAGCTTTCCAGCGAAGGGAACCTCAGTGGGTTGTGAAGAAGCAGCTTCCTGTGGGTGAGTGACTGTTCTCTTGGGGTCTTTGGGGCGGGGAAGGGGGCACCAGACACCTGTATCCGGTCTTCAGGGAGCTGGGTTTTCAGGGCCAGCATTTCCCGGGCATACACATCGGGGTAGTGGGCCTCTCCAAAGGCCTTCTCCAGCTCCTCCAGCTGCTGAGCAGTAAAGACTGTCCTGTGGGTGGAAACACACCATGGGCTTTCCTGCCTGAGGACTTCTTGCTGCCCTGCTGTTTGTACCCCAAGGCTACTTTATGCCACCTGGACACCCCAGTTCTGGGTGATCAGCCCCTGGAAGGTCCAGGAGTTTGGTTGAAATGAGGCAGAGATCTATCTTTCTATCTCTCTTTCTTTCCTTTGGTGCTGGGGATGAACAAGGGCCCTGTGCATGCTCAGCTCACACTCTGCCACCCGAGCTGCACACAAAGCTTTTAGCTTATTCGTAATGATTCCCACCACCTTCTGATGAGACCCACTTCACAGACCCACAATTTGTCTTTTTTTTTTTTTTTTTTTTTTTTTTTTTTTTTTTTCTCCGGTACCGGGAACCGAACTCATGACCTTGCGCTTGCCAGGCAGGCGCTTTGCCGCTGAGCTAAATCCCCAGCCCCCCCACAATTTGTCTTTAAAATGGTACAAATCTGCAGGCTCCAGGAGTAAAGAGTTTTCTTTGCAAATAGCTACAGTGCCCTTTGTACAGACAACCAGGAGCCTGCTGGACCCACCCCAGCCAGGTCTCTCAGTTTGTCCCAGGTGTTTGTCCCAGGGCACCAGGCTGTGTCCAGGGAGAGGCAGGCAGGGCCGGCAGCCTGTACCTGTGCCGCCGCTTCTTCCGCTTGCCCAGGCCAGGGGACACCTTCAGGTCACTCCTGTCTTCAGAAAGACTGTCGTCATCTGTGGGCACAGGTAGAACATCACGCTAAGTGGAGCATATTTTCAGTCTGTTTTCTGCACATTACTGTGAGGACTGAAGCCCTGAACCTGTGAGGAATGTATGCAATCGTAAGAGCGAGGCTTTTAGCAGCTCCAGATTCAGGCACTGTTTTGTAGAATGAAAAAGCAAAGTAGCTGCTGTTATCATCTCATTTTTACAAATGGAACCCAGGCAGAGAGCTTCAGTGCCCATCCCAAGATCACACCGGTCCCTCTCCATCACCACTGCTTACCGGGAGGGCAGAGGCTGTGACCTCAGAGGCTGTGACCTGAACTGGCACACCAGTCCAGACCCTCATTCTTTTTCTTGATAAGGGTGTCAGCTGATTTGTAGCTCCTCTTAGAAAAGTAGGAACCACTGTCCTGTGTTTCATCCTTCTAGACTCATTACATCAGGAGATCCAGATGGAAAGGGAGGTTAGGACACCAAACTATTACCAGAGCCCTTGTTAAAGTGTTGTTGCCTCAAGATAGGAAAAAAATGAATAAAGGTAACAATAGCAAAGTAATACTAGCTTTGCTTCTACCTCATTTGGTCACCAGAAACCTGTGCTTGGGTCATAACATCCCCTGGTATGCAGTCCACTTGCTGGACATCAGCCACAGGAGCTGCCAGGCATGTGGACACGGTCAAATAGAAATGTCAGCGCAAGGTCGTGAGTTCGGTTCCCGGTACCGGATAAAAACCAAAAAAAAAAAAAAAGAAATGTCACCTTTACCCTGGGTTTAAGGAACTCAGCACCCCCAAAAGTAAAGCAGCTTTATATTGGTTACATGGAAATGATACTATTTACAGAAATGTAGTTCAGTACTTAAGTTCGTTTCACCTGTGTGTTCCCTTTTAAGATAGCTGGTCATTTCTCTCCTTGCATCTCACGTGGCTTTGCGGACAGATCTGCTCTGTGTCTCCCTGAAACGCCTCCCAGTCTGGGGCTTGGCAGCCTTTTGCTCTTCATTTTATCAGGATGCAAAAGAAGCCAACCGTGAAGGTGGCTTTGACTGATCTTCTGTGGCCCTGGGGTAGAACCCAGGGCTGATCTACGCTGAGCCGCACCCACAGCCCTCTTCAGTTTTCATTCTGAGACAAGGTCTTGCTAAGTTGCCTAGGCTGATCTCGAACTTGCACTCCTCCTGCCTGTCTCTGGAGTAGCTGGGATTCTGGCAGGCGTGCGCCACTGCACCCAGCTGGTCTTTGAATTTTTAATGAACTTTTTCGTCTTGTCTGAGAGGCCCACGAGGGAAAGTCCTTTTAGGGCTGAGTGCTCAGCAGCCTGTTGACCTGCCTGCTTCCTTTTATTATGAGACACAGTGTACCCTTTTTCCTCACCTTCTGCTCTAGGTTCTACTGTACAGTTTCACTAAGACCACATTTTCTTATGTAATCCTTCTTTCTTCCCCCCCAGGACCGGGCCCTCTCAATTTCTTGCCCTGTCCTTTACAGAATTTAATTTCTCCCTTCCCTTTCCCCGCAGTTTGCCTGAACTTGGTTGAGGTAACAGGTGGCTGGGCAGGAAAGGCCGAGCACAGCTGCAGGGACCTGAAGGGGCTGCGGGAAGGCGACCCGGGAGAGCGACCGGGATTCCTTTCAGCACCAGGAGGCGGACAGTTCCCGCTCAGTCCTCTGCACCGCGCGTCCGCACCCTCGGGTCCTGGCCTTCCCGACTCGCGGACTGCCGGAGCTGCGGCCGTCGCGGACCCCGGGACGCCGCAAAGGTCCTGGGCCAGACGGAGAAGGCAGAGGCTGGCACAGAGCTCGGCAGAGCCGCCCGCACCCCCAACCCTTGGCGGGGACGCCCTTGTCGCCGCGGGGGCCTGGCTCCTACCGGACGCGGAGTCGCTGTCGCTGCGCTGCGGGCGGCCTGGCTCGGGCGGCGGGTCCGAGAAGGCGCGCGGGACGCCAGGCGGGAGCGCAGCGCTGGGACACCCGAGTCCAGTCCCCGGCCCCGGCCCCGCGGGCGGCTCGGCCTCCAGGCCCAGCAGATCAGTGATGGCGAAGCCCCGGGGGCGCGTGCCGGGCATCACAGCACCGATGCGCGCGCGGCCCCCGGGGACAGCAAGGGGCGCGGACCCCGCCATGGCCTCGCGGGGCTGGGTGACCAAGGGCCCCGCCGGCTTTGCGCTTAATTTATACCGGAGACCAGGGTGCGAGGCGGGGCCGACCAGCGCCCGGGGACCCCGCCCCCTCCCCACCGCCCAGCTGCGCCCAGTCCCCGCCCGCCACTTCCTCGCGATTCGTCCGCCCCCGACCACCCGCGCGCAGCCGAATCAGACCCGGACCACGACCTGGACCCGGACCTGAAGCCGGGCCCGTGTTGGCGACCGTGGACGGCGCTGGATGGCGGCACCGGGCGCGAGGCTTTCATGGAGGGTCGAACTCGGACGGACCGTAGCGAGGCTTTAGTCCCCGCGTGTCCCTTGCCACCAGGGGCCCTGGATGAGGCAGAGAGACACTGTCCATCTCAGGTCACCCCTCTCCTCGAAACACCTTTCCCCGGGACTAACCGAACCAACCTCCCTTGCGATAGAATTTGCGCCCTGGCATGCGCCAGCCCCTCCTGCCTCGGCCTCGCCCACCCCCTTCCCATCCCTCCACGGTCAGCCGGGTCCCGAGGTGCGGGGCGCATGTCCTCCTCCGTTGTCAGGACACAGTCTCCGCGGTCCCCACAGCTGTGGGATGGGGACTCTTCTGTGGGCGGGGGTGGCACAGATGGCTCAGGAACCCTTCCCTGGTTTTCCTCTGGACTGCAGAACATGGTCCAGGCGGCAGACATGCGGAACCCGCTGAGATCCAAAGATCTGCTCTGCGCCCGCGGCGTGGTTGGTTGTTTGTTTCGGCTGGTTTGGGTTTGAGTTGGTTTTTGAGGCAGAGTTTGAGTACTAGTCCAGGCTGGCCTGGAACTCGCAATACTCCTGCCTCAGCCTCTTCTGGCTGGGATTACAAGCGTGCACTGCCACACCAAGGTTAAACGTGGTCAGACCTTGGTGGTGGCGCAGGCCTGTAATCCCAGCACTCGGGAGTCTGAGGCAGGAGGATCATTGTGAGTTCAAGATCAGCCTGGGTTACAAAGTGAGCTCAAGGCCCGCCTGAACTGCATAGTGAGACTCTGTCTCAAAAAAAAAAAAAAAAAGTGATCGTGAGCGGGCAGGACAGCTGGCTCTGAGGTGGCCCAGGCAGGTCATCCCCTGGGAGTCTGCTCGCTCAGCTTCCCGAGGCGCAGGGTTCACAGATCCTGCAGACCCCAGTAGGCAGCCAGGGACCCTAAGACACCAGGATGCCGGGTGGGGATACCAGCCCCCGCGAGATCGAGGGTCCCTGTCTCCTTCGTTATTCCGCCTGTGATGGGTGGGGCCCCTGCTGGGACAGGTTAGGTGGGGAGCCCCGGGAGATTCTCGCAGTGCAGGCGGCAAGGGCAACGGACGAGAGCAAACGACACTTGCACCGGGCAGATGCTGAGTACACCCAAGCGCCTGGAGTGCGCTCACCCAGGGTGAGACCAGAGAGGTGGCCCTCGAGCATCTCTGCCACAGGTCACGCTGGCTGTCGCTTCAGAATCCTAAATCCTTTATTTAGGGGGTGGAGATCCACCTTCACCAGCAAGGATTATTTGGGATTTGACGGCAAAGGCGTCTTTCATTAGTGTCCAGGGAAGGCATCCCGCCCCTGCCTCACCACAGCCGAGGTCTTTCCTCCTCTTCTGGCCTGTGACGCTGGGCCCCGTGAAAGGCTGGCTGTGTAAAGAGTTCGAGGGTTAGAGACTATGGCAGCGGGGTCCGCCTGGGTCTCTCTGCCGCCAGTGAGCCTGGGCCGGTCCTCCTGCTTTGGCCTCCCTCCTGCTCACTGCTTTTGTGCCCTGGCTAAAGGTGACTGTAGGAGACACTGATTCCCATGATCTCAGGTGCTGGCACAGATTCAGAAAATAGCAGAGAGAACACTGGGGCCATGTGGATAAGCTGGTGGTCCCTTCATGGTACGGCGCAAGCACTGATTTTTTGGTCTTGATAACTGTGCCTTGGCTGTGGACGATGTGAACACGGGAAATGGATGAGGTTGGGGCTGTGGATATTATTATAGAAACTGTCAGAATGGTTTTTTAAAAAGCCAAGACCTGACCTAATGGTATGTTTCTACAAGAAATCCACTTGAAATATACAGATACAGATTAAAAACAAAAGAACAGAGGAAGATATACCATGCTAGCACTAATCAAAAGCAAGCTCCTTTCAGACAAAACAAACATCAAAACAAGGACAGTTGTTGAGAATAAAGAGGGACTTGCACAATGATGGAGAAGCCAGTTTTCCAGAAAACTACTTAAAATGGATACACTGGCCTGGCATGGTGGCACACGCCTGTAATCCCAGCACTTGGGAGGCTGAGGCAGGAGGATTGTTGTGAGTTCAAAGCCAGCCTGGGCTACAAAGTGAGCTTGAGGCCAGCCTGAACTGCATAGTGAGACCCTGTCTCAAAAAGACAAAAAAAAAAAAAAAAAAAAAAAAAAAAAAAAAAAAAAAAAAAAAAAAAAAAAAGATGGATACACTGAACAAGAGAGTGCCAAAATGCAGCAGGCAGAAACTGACAAAAAGGCAAGGAAAATAGACAAATCCTGTTACAGTAGGAGGCTCCCACATTCCTTCACCAGTACTTGAGACATACCGGGCACAGAAAATCAGTTAAAATACAGATGAACTGAACAGCACCATCAGGCAATTCGATCTAATGACATTTATAGAATAACTTCATCCAAGTGGGGCATGGTGCTGCACACCTGTGATCCCAGCACCCTGGGAGACTGAGACAGGAAGATGGAAAGTTGGAGCCCAGCCTGGGTGACTCAGCAACATAGTGAGATCTTGCCCCAAAAATTTTGTTGTTGTTTTAATTTACAAAAAGGGGTAGGGATGTAGCTCAGTGCAAAAACCCTAGGGATTGTACTTCAATCCCCAGTACAAAACAACTGATAATGTTCTCAAGATCACATGGAATACTTACCAGATAGGCCACAAAACCCACCAACAGGTTTAAAAGACTAGAAGTCATACAAAGTATAGCTTCAAGCTACAACAAAATCAAACCAGAAGTCATAGCAGGAACATAGACAAAAGATCCAAAACTGTTTAGAGATTAAATCACACACTTCTGCCAGGTGTGGTGGTGCATGCCTATAATCGGGAGGCTGAGGTAAAAGGATTGCCATGAGTTCAAGGCCCACCTGGGATGCATACTGAGTTCAAGGTCAGTCTGAACTGCATAGTGAGACCCTGTCTCCAAAAAACTAAATAAATAAATAAATAACACACTTCTGTATAACACAACAATCAAAGAAGAAATCTCAAGAAAAATTTAGAATTGCTTTGAACTAAATGAAAATGAATATGCTATGTGCTGAGTTGTGGGGTGCAGTCACAGAGCCTGGAAGGATGTAGACAGTGCTGGATGCAGGTGTCAGGAAAGAAGATCTAAAATAACCACCCAAACTTCCTGGTGGGGAAATGAGAAAAGGAAGGAAACATTAAGTCAGAAATATGCAGAAGAAAAGAAAAAATAAAAATTAGGGTAGAAATCAATTAAACTGGAAGCAGGAAATTCATAGAGAAAATCACTGAAGCCAAAAGCTGGTTCTTTGATAAAATGCATGAGGTTTTACCCAGACTAACTAAGAAAAACAGAAAAAATATATATAAGTTGTTCACATCACTAATGAGAGAGGAATCATCACTATGGTCCCAACAGGTATTAAAAAGAAAACAAATATTATAATAATTCTATACCCACACATTTGATAACTTAGATGAAATGTACCAATTTCCTGAAAGATACAAATTACCAAAACTCACATAAAAAGAAATAACCTAAGTAGGACTTTATCTACTAAAGAAATAAAATAATTAATGGCCCTCAAAAAATAAAGAAAGCACCAGACCCAGATTATTTCATTGTGATATCCAAGAAGCATTTAAAAAATGTCACCAATTCTCTACTATCTTTTCGGGAAGATGGAAACACAGGAAATACTTCCAGTGCATTCTGTGAGGTCAGCATTATTCTAATAACAAAGCCAGACAAGGGCACTAGAAGAAGGGAAATCTGCATGCCAAAACTCTCACATAGATAAAAAAGAAATCCTCATAAAATACTAGCAAATTAACTCCATACATATTCAAAGAATTATATATACCACAACTATAAGGGATTTAGTCCAGGAATGCAAGGCTGGTTCGACCAAAAATCCATAAATATAATCTATCATGTCAACAGGCTAAAGAAAAGAATCATAGTGTCACATCTATAGATGCAAAAATATTATAAAATCTGAAACTCATTCATCATTTTAAAACACTTAGAAAACTATGAATGAAATTTTTTCAACTTGATAAAGAAGATCTACAAAAAACCTACAATTAACGTCATACTTAATGATGAAAAACTAAATACTTTCTCCTTAATTTGGGGAAAAAATAGGATGTACCCTCTCACCACACCACTCATATCATATAGGAAATCCTTGTTAGTCTAATAAGATGATAAAAAGATATAGAAGGAAAAAATAATACTGTCTTGGGTAACAGATGAAATCATTGTCAACTCTTTGATCTAATCCATGATTACAACAAACATCAAGACACCAGCTTACTATACAAAAATCAGTTGCTTGCTTACATATCAGCAACAATTGAAATTTGAAATTAAAATACAATATGATTTATATTAACACAGATAAATGAAGTATGAAGGTAAAAAGTTTAAAATATATGTACAGGAATAATATGAGGAAAACTGCAAAACTCTTATGAGAGAAATCAAACATCATAGACAGGAAGACTCAATATTGTTAATAGAACTTTCTACTTAATATATGACGTCCTGATTAAACTCCCAGCAAAGCAATTCCAAAGCTTCCATGGAGGGACAGACTTACAAGAGTCAACACAGCCTTGAGGCATGAAGTCAGAGGGTTGACACCGGCTCGGGAGGTCACTATGGAGCCACAGTTACAGAGACAGAGTGCTACTCATGAAGAGACAGAGACAGAAATCAAAGGCACAGAAATGGACCTACACAAGTAGTGTCAGCAGAT